AGCCACGGCAAGGGATGGCGGCCGCTGTCACTCATTCAGCCCACACACACGGCCTCGCGGCCTGCGCCAGGCGTGGAGGGGCGTGCAGTCACCGAGCCTTCCCCCGCGAGGTGCACAGGTCTAGTTTGAACACGCGTAAGGGGATGAATCAGGCCAGCGAAGCACCAAGGGACTGCCTGACAGGAGAAGGCAGTGACATCCGAGCCAGGTTTTCAAGGATGAGTAAGTGCTCCTTTGACAGGAGGCAGAGAAAAGACGCTCCTGGCAGCGGGAACAGGAAGGGCAGAGGCACCGAGACGCGCAAAGGCCCAAAGGGCTCGGTAGGCCTCAGAGGCAGAGGCCGGACGGTCAAGATCACAGAAGGTCTTGAGGCTCAAGCCAGAGTGGAGGTGGAGAGCGGGCTGCAGCGGGAAAGGAGGATTTCCGGCCGAGGTGTGTCTGGTGGGATGCGGAGATGGAGGAGGGGGCCCCTCGGGGTGTCCCAGCGGTGGGGCTGGGGGCCGTGTCCCTCCCGGCACCCCCAGCTGGCCCGGCCTGGTGCCCAGAGCAGGGACACTCCCCCCCTCCCCCCAATTACAGCTCAGTGGGCTGCCTGCCGCACCCCACTTTGAAGGCCAGAGGCCCTTTCCCAGGGAGTTCAGACCCAGCCAGCTGGCCCGTGGTCCGGGTCCAAAGCAAACAGGAAAAGCCCACGGTGGGCCAGGCCGGGCCTCTTTCTTTGTTTGGAGAAGAGATTAGGCCAACCGGATTCGGCTCCGTGGGTCTTTCCCGCCGTGGGGCTGGAGGGGGAGGCAGGGGCGCGGCGAGGGGGGCGGCACGGGTCCCCCGGGGGCCAGCCTCCAGGGGGTACCACACGCACGGCCTTCCTTGGCACACGCTGCCCCGATGGCGGGAACCGGGAGCACACCCTTCCCTCCGTCACGGGGCCGAGCTGCAGCCCTGCCCCGGCCCTTGGCTCCCCACTCGTGTTTCTTGGAAGTCAAGCCAGGCCCGACGGGGGCGGCTGCCAGTTACTGCGGGGGGAAGTCCACCCCGCCCGGGCCAGGGGCTCAGAGCACCGTCCCTTGGAGGGATGGGCACCCTGGATTCCCCCGCAGACCCGGCCCTCAGACCCCGGCCTCTGCTGGCCAGACACGGTGGCAGCCATTCACTCGTGTTTTGTGTGTTTTTTTTTTTAAAAAATATATATTTTATTGATTTTTTTTTTACAGAGAGGAAGGGAGAGGGATAGAGAGCTAGAAACATCCATGAGAGAGAGAAACATCGACCAGCCGCCTGCTGCACACCCCCAACCGGGGATGTGCCCGCAACCAAGGCACATGCCCTTGACCGGAATCGAACCCGGGACCCTTCAGTCTGCAGGCCGATGCTCTATCCACTGAGCCAAACCGGTTTCGGCAAGCCATTCACTCTTTTTTTTTTTTTTTTTTTTTTTTTTTTAATATATTTTATTGATTTTGTACAGAGAGGAAGGGAAAGAGATAGATACAGAGTTAGAAACATCGATGAGATAAAGTCATCAATCAGCTGCCTCTTGCACACCCCCTACTGGGGATATGCCCGCAACCAAGGTACGTGCCCTTGACCGGAATCGAACCCGGGACCCTTCAGTCCCCAAGCCGACGCTCTATCCATTGAGCCAAACCGGTTTCGGCAAGCCATTCATTCTTGCAGTTATGGGGGAATGGACTCGTCTCCGCGTCTGTTCACACATGCAGTCGCTGACCAGGCCTTCGTGCAGACTCGGGGGGTTGGGGGGAAAGGATGGGGCAGGTGGGTGAGGTCCCCCAGGAGCTGGCAAGCTGAAAAGCAGACAAATGGGAGTCCTGAGTGGCATCTGGCCCCCACAAGAGGCCTGCCTGCCTGCTGGGAGTGGAAGTGGAAAGGGGAGGCAAGCATGGAGGCAGGGACAAGGACAGGAGTGGAGATGAGCTAGAGAGACCCCTTCATTGATTCCTTCGCCAGGTGCACATTCACTGAACAAGTATGGGTTAAGGCCCTACTTTTGTGCCAAGTGCCAAGTGTTGGTAAGCAGAAGCAGCCAAAGCTGCCCCCCCACCCCCGCCCTGCCCGCTCTCGGGGCCTCCAGTCCGTTGGGGAAGTCGGCAGTGATTAAGTCATCCACCACACAGATCAAATAAAAAACTCGCCGAGCCGAAACTGCAGACTGAAAGCTCCCGAGAGAGAATCATCGATCAGCTGCCCAGTGAGGGATGTGCAAGAGGCAGCTGATCGATGACTCTCTCTCATCGATGTTTCTGGCTCTCTGCCTCTCTCCCTTCCTCTCTGTACAAAATCAATAAAATATATATATATTTTTAAAAACAGATTATAAAAAAGAAAAGAAAAAAAAAAGTTCCTGGACCATTGTTTTACAGCTGCCAGTTGACAGCTGCCATCGTTCTGGTGGAGCCGTTTGGGGGAACATTTTTTTAAAAAACATATATATATTTTATTGATTTTTTACAGAGCGGAAGGGAGAGAGATAGAGAGCTAGAAACGTAGAAACGTCGATGAGAGAGAAACATCGACCAGCTGCCACTTGCACACCCCCCACTGGGGATGTGCCCGCAACCAACGTGCATGCCCTTGACCGGAATCGAACCCGGGACCTTTCAGTCCGCAGACCGACGCTCTACCGCTGAGCCGAACCGGTTTCGGCTTGGGGAATATTTTATTCTGCCCCATTTGAGTAGAAAATAATGACCCAGTTTGTTTGGTGAAGAGGTTTGAGGGGGAGCTGAGGGGAAGTGGGAGGTGGGGAGTCGGTGAGGGCACAGCAGTGACCGCATAAACAACAAGACTGGCTTTGACCCAGGAGTGGTGAGATGGGGGCGGGGGAGGAGGGGGGTCCCGGATGTAGGGGTGACGGGCAGGCGGTTCAAGGCTTGAGGAACTAACTAGACTAGTGGACGGAAAGGGTAAGAATGGGCATCCATTTCCTCTGAGCCAAACCGGCTGGAGCGGTTTTGCCTTTTTATTGAGAATGATGAGTGCTCTTCTCACTTCTGCCAAGAGGCTGTGGCCGAGCCCTGGGTAAGAAAGGAGAGGGTGCCCTAACCGGTGTTGCTCAGTGGATAGCGCGTGGGTCTGCCGACTGAAGGGTCCCAGGTTCGATTCCGGTCAAGGGCATGGACCTCGGTTGCAGGCACATCCCCAGTAGGGGGTGTGCAGGAGGCAGCTGATCAATGTTTCTTTTTATTTTATTTTATTTTATTTATTTATTTATTTATTTATTTATTTATTTATTTATTTTTAAATACATTTTATTGATTTTGTACAGAGAGGAAGGGAGAGAGATAGAGAGTTAGAAACATCGATGAGAGAGAGTCATCGACCAGCTGCCTCTTGCACACCCCCTACTGGGGATATGCCCGCAACCAAGGTACATGCCCTTGACCGGAATCGAACCCGGGACCCTTCAGTCCCCAAGCCGATGCTCTATCCATTGAGCCAAACCGGTCTTGGCTGATCAATGTTTCTAATTTTCTATCCCTCTCTCTTCCTCTCTGTAAAAAATCAATAAAATATATATATATATATATATATATTTTTTTTTTTTTTAAAGAAAGGAGGAGGGGTAACTTTTAGGTTCCACCCTGTGGAGTTTAATATCTTTTCTCATTAAGTCTGTTCCGTGAACAAGAGAGGGAAGGACTGCCATGAGGGAAAAGGTCGTGGCTGGTCAAGAGATTAAGCCTATTTTTTTTTTTTTATTATTGATTTTTTTTTTTTTTTTTTTTTTTTTACAGAGAGGAAAAGATAGAGAGAGAGAAACATCGATCAGCTGCCTCTTGCACACCCTCCACTGGGGATGTGCCCGCAACCAAGGTACACGCCCCTGACCGGAATCAAACCCGGGACCCTTCAGTCTGCAGACCTACGCTCTATCCACTGAGCCCAACCCGTTTCGGCAGCCTCCTGTCTTAAAAAGGCAAGACAGCCCTAGCCGGTGTGGCTCAGTGGCTAGAGTGTCCGCCCTGAGGACCACAAGGTCCCGGGTTCGATTCCAGTCAAGGGCACACACCTGGGTTGCAGGCTTCTCCCCAGCCCGGGGGGGGGCCCCATGTGTTTCTCAACATCCCTCTGTCTCTCCCTCTCAGTTCCACTCTTCCTAAAAATCAATGGAACAATATCCTTGGGTGAGGATTAACCCGAGGGAAAAAGGGGAAAAAAACATCTAAATATCTTCTCATTCTACTCAGTGAGCTGATCATTGAGGACAAAGGAAAACGGGGGGGGGGGGGGGGGCACCTGGGAGCCTGCCTGCTCTAGAGGAATGCAGGGGGCTGGGCACCCCTCCAGCTCCTGGCAGCAGGGGAGACCCAGTGTATGCCTGACTCAGAAACCCACTCTCCCCTTCTCTGCATCCCCCATTTTTTAAAAAATATATTTTATTGATTTTTTTACACAGAGGAAGGAAGAGGGATAGAGAGCCAGAAACATCGATGGGAGAGAGACATCCATCAGCTGCCTCCTGAACACCCCCCATTGGGGCTGTGCCCGCAGCCAATGTACATGCCCTTGACCGGAATCGAACCCGGGACCTTTCTGTCCGGAGACCGACGCTCTATCCACTGAGCCAAACCGGTTTCGGCCATCCCCCACCCCTTGTTTTGGGAAAGTCTTTCCCTCCCTCTCACCCCGAATCCCCCTTCTCCTGTCCCCACCGTCTCAGCTTGCACACAGAGAGCACTGCGCCCCGCACCCCTTCAGCAGGGCGGGGGCGATTAGCGCCGGGGGGTGCGGGTGCGGCTCCGGGCAGCCAGCAGCAGCCTGTAACTGGATCCTGTTTGCTCCCAGCAGGTGCACGGTTCCCGGGTCTCTCTCTTCGGAGCCTGGGCACAGCTCGCCCCTGCCCGGGCCCGGTGACCTTTGCCTGTCTGAGCCCTGGTTAATTTTTGCCCAGTTTGCTTGCCGTGGGGAGGAGCCCCGCTCGGGGATATAAGCCTGGCCCTGCTCCCTGCCTGTCCTGAGCCTCCCAAACGCCCACCCTCACCATGGCCAAGGGCTTCTACATCTCCAAGGGCGTAGGCGTCCTGGGCATCGTCCTGGGCGTCGCGGCCATCAGCACCATCATCGCCCTGTCCGTGGTGTACTCCCAGGAGAAGAACAAGAATGCCGAGAGCTCAGCCGAGGCCCCCACCACCACCACCACCAGCATGCCCACCACCACCACCACCACCACCACCACCACCAGCATGCCCACCACCACCACCACCACCACCACCACCAGCAGCAGGCCCGGCACCACCACCGGCAGTCCCGCCACCACCTTGGACCAGACCAAGCCGTGGAACCGGTACCGCCTCCCCAGATCGCTGGTCCCTGATTCCTACCAGGTGACCCTCAGGCCCTTCCTGGTCCCCAACGAGCACGGACTGTACCTCTTCAACGGCTCCAGCTCCGTCCACTTCACGTGCCGGGTGCCCACCGACGTGATCATCATCCACAGCAAGAAGCTCAACTACACCGACATCCAGGGCCACCGGGTGGTGCTGCGGGCCCTGGGGGGCGACGCCCAGGCCCCCGAAATCGATCGCACGGAGCTGGTGGAGGTCACCGAGTACCTGGTGGTGCACCTGAAGGGCCCGCTGCAGGAGGGCGTCATGTACGAGATGAACAGCACGTTCCAGGGCGAGCTGGCCGACGACCTGGCCGGCTTCTACCGCAGCGAGTACATGGACGGCACCCAGAAAAAGTAAGGGGGGGGGGGCTCGGCCCCAGGAGGGCGTGGGTTCGAGGCCTTTGAACCTGCGAGAGCCCTCGCCGCCGGGGGGGCGGGGGGGAGGCCTGCCTTCCCCTGGAGTTCCCGGGGAGCGGCTGCCACAAACCCTTTCCCTGAATCCTCCCTGCCCCTCCCCCCCTCACCACCCCCTGCAGGGAGCCAAGGCCCGAGCGGCGGACGTGTCCCCCATTTATTTATTTTATTATTTAAAATATATTTTATTGATTTTTTTTTTTTTTTTACACAGAGAGGAAAAGAGAGGGATAGAGAGAGCTAGAAACATCGATGAGAGAGAAACATCCACCAGCTGCCTCCTGCGCACCCCCCACCACCGGGGATGTGCCCGCAACCAAGGTCCATGCCCCTTGACCGGAATCGAACCTGGGACCCTTCAGTCCGCAGGCCGACGCTCTATCCACTGAGCCACACCAGTTTCAGCGTGTGTGTCCCCCCCCCCCCCCCGCCCCCCTCTCCCGTTTAGACAGGAAAACTGAGAGCAGAGGAGAGAGAGGCGGGCTGCCGGCTGACAGAGATGGAGCCTGCCGGGACTTTGACCCGGAGTCCTGAAGGAGCTGCAGGTCCATCCAAGGCACCTGCAGGGGCGAGGGGAGGCAGGGGGGCAGGGATTAGGCAGACCAGCTTTCCGGGCACCCCTTTCCCTGCACACCCAGAGACACCTAAAGCCCACCCTCCCCATCCCACCCCGATGGGTGCACACGTCCCCAGCTGACCCCCGGTCTGGGCAGGGTGCTGGCCACGACCCAGATGCAGTCCGCCGATGCGCGCAAGTCCTTCCCGTGCTTCGACGAGCCCGCCATGAAGGCCAAGTTCAACATCACCCTCATCCACCCCCACAACCTCACGGCGCTGTCCAACATGCTGCCCAAAGGTGAGCCGGTCGGTCCCGGGGCTACACAGCTTCCCCTCTCCCCAACCCCGCCCCCCCGCCGGAACTGGCGCCCCAGGGCGGGGCGGGGGGCAGGGGCGCAGGGCCGGAGGCCGGGTGCGTGCCCACCTGCCCACATGCTCCCTGCCCAGGCCCCAGCGTCCCGCTGGAGGGAGACCCCGAGTGGAGCGTCACTGAGTTCCAAACCACGCCCGTCATGTCCACGTACCTGCTGGCCTACATCGTGAGCGAGTTCACGAGTGTAAACACGACAGAGATCATGTCGACCCAGCAGCACGTCCTGGTAGGAAGCTGGGCCCCCCCTCCTCTCCCCTCGCCTCCCCTCCCCTCCCCTTCCCCCATTGGCCTTGCCTGAGGGACCTTCCTGTGTACCCCAGCCCCCGAGTTGTCAGGCCTGGGTTTGAACCCCAGCTCTGGGGCATTCTCTGACCCTTCGTCTCTGTGTTTGCAAAGTGGGTGCTTCCTCATGAAGATGGGTGCCACTCCCACGGGTGCCAGGCAGGCGTGGTGGGTCAAGGCCATTGTCATCCCCCCAAAGAACCCTCCTAGCCGAAACCGGTTTGGTTCAGTGGTAGAGCATCGGTCTGTGGACTGAAAGGTCCCAGGTTCGATTCCGGTCAAGGGCATGTACGTTGATTACAGGCACATCCCCGGTAAGGGCTGTGCAAGAGGCAGTTGATCGATGATTCTCTCTCATCGACGTTTCTAGCTCTCTATCTCTCCCCCTTCCTCTCTGTAAAAAAAAAAAAAAAAAAATCAATAAAATTTATTAATAAAAAAAAAAAGAACGAACTTTCCTAGGACCCAAAGCCCTTCAGGGACCCCCAGCCCGCTCTCCTGAGGACCAGGCCTCCTGTTTAACCTCATCCGTTCCCTGGTTCTCGGCCCACCCGCTCCGGGGACCAGGCGGGCCGTGACCTCGCTCCGTCCTCCCTGCAGATCCGGATCTGGGCGCGCCCCAGCGCCACGGAGGCCGGCCACGGCCAGTACGCCCTGAACGTGACGGGCAGCATCCTCAACTTCTTCGCCCAACATTACAACACATCCTACCCCCTGGAGAAATCCGGTGAGTGAGGGCTGTCACGGGGCGGGGGGCACAGGGCCCCATGTCCAGAGGCCATCCCGCCAACCTCCCGCCCGCCCCCTCCCCCCCCTGCAGACCAGATAGGCCTCCCTGACTTCAACGCGGGCGCCATGGAGAACTGGGGGCTGGTGACCTACCGGGAGAACTCCCTGCTCTTCGACCCGGAGTCCTCCTCCAGCAGCAACAAGGAGCGGGTGGTCACGGTGATCGCACACGAGCTGGCCCACCAGGTAGCCAGCGTGGCATTACAGGGTGCAGGGAAGGGAAGCGGGGGGGGGGGGGGGGCGGGGGGGCTCCGGGAGGCGAGGGCACGGGTCCCCCCACTCGGTAGCCGGGAGGGGAGGAAGGTTAGCAGGCGGGAGTCACGATGATGTCAGAAGGCGCCAGCCCAGCCGAAACCGGTGTGGCTCGGTGGATAGAGCGTCGGCCTGCAGACTGAAAGGTCTCAGGTTCTGTTCCGGTCAAGGGCATGTACCTTGGTTGCGGGCACATCCCCAGAGGGGGATATGCAGGAGGCAGCTGGTCGATGACTCTCTCTCATCGACATTTCTAGCTCTCTCTCTCTCTCTCCCTTCCTCTCTGTAAAGAAATCAATAAAATAAAATTAAAAAAATATATATATATATATATATTATTATTTTTTAAAGGCGCCAGCCCAGGCCTGGCATTGGGGCTGCTCGGTGTGGGAGGGCGGGGGGAGTGTGGGGGGCCCACAAGGCTATAGCAGCTGCAGGGCTGACCCCCGCTCTGCCCCGCCCCCACAGTGGTTTGGCAACCTGGTGACGGTGGCCTGGTGGAATGACCTGTGGCTGAACGAGGGCTTCGCCTCCTACGTGGAGTACCTGGGTGCCGACCACGCCGAGCCCAGCTGGAACCTGGTGAGCCCGCCGGGCAGGGGCCTGGGGCCTGGGGAAGGAAGGGTGAGGGGGGCAGGGGGGGGCCCGGGCTGCCCCTCCCAGGACCGTGTCCTGACTCCTGACGGCGGCGGCGGCGCCCGGGGATTTGCAGAAAGACATCATAGTGCAGAACGAGCTGTACCGTGTGATGGCGGTGGACGCCCTGGCCTCCTCCCACCCGCTGTCCACCCCCGCCGAGGAGGTCAACACGCCGGCCCAGATCAGCGAGATGTTCGACTCCATCTCCTACAGCAAGGTGCTAGGCCCCAGGCAGCCAGAGGGGGGCCGGGCGGGGGGGCCGTCACTGGGTCCTGCTGGCCGGGCACAGCTTTCTGAGCACCCCTCTCCCTCCCCCTCCCCAGGGAGCCTCGGTGATCAGGATGCTCTCCAGCTTCCTGACTGAGGACCTGTTCAAGAAGGGCCTGTCGGTGAGTGCGCTGGGCCGGCCCTCGGCGGGTGGGGGTGAGGGCGGGGGTGGGGGGCATTCCTCCAGCCCTCACCCGGCCTCTCTCCACAGCTCTACCTCCACGCCTTCTCCTACAACAGCACTACCTACCTGGACCTGTGGGACAACCTGCAGAAGGTGGGTAACAGCCTGCCCCTGCCCTTTCCCCCCGCAGCCCCCCCCCCCCGAGCCATCCTATTGGGGTCCTGAGACGCTAGATGGCCCTGAGGGCAGGGGCGCCCAGCCCCCCAGCCCGGGCAGGTCATCTGGAGCCTTGGTTGGCGATGGGGAAATGGGCGCTGCCATGGCCCCTTGAAGGGGGGGTGTGAGACCCCGCAGGCGGCCTGCCGCACCCCGTAGTGAGCTCCTCCATGGGATCCACCCCTCTGAGTGCCCTGGACCCGGGCCTCCCCGCTCCCAGGCCCGAGCCCTCCTCTCTGGGGGACTTTGGAGCCAGCCGCTCCACCTGCTCAGCAGTCCCGGCTGCCCTGTGCCCTCCCGGCCCCTCCCCAGCACGACTTTGCACCCCGCACCCAGAGCACAGCGGGGACCCTCCCATCCGGCCCCGCCTTGCATGCCTGTCAGCTCAGACCCCAGCAGCCGGTGTCTGTGGGGCAGACCTTCTAGCACCTTCCGCTGGCCGCCCCTCCCTGCTTCTCCGCTGGAGTCTGCCCGCTCTCCTTCATCCCCACCTCTTCACCCCGCCCCCCCCCCCCCCCCGGCCCTCCTCAACCCAAATGGCCCCTCCAGCCCCCGGCTGCCCTGGCTCTCAGTCCGATCTGACCAGGGAGAGGGGACCAGGGCTTTGTTAGGGTCACAGCTGGGCCCCAGGGTCCTCATGGCCAAGCTCCAGCCCAGGTTCCATCTGCCAGGAAACTGCCCCCCACCCTCCCCCGCCTCCCTCACCGGCTCCGTCCCTCCCCTCCACTCCCACCGGCTTCCTAGCCCTGCCTCAGTTTCCCACCCACGCCTCCTGCAAAGGCCTCCTCTGCCAACTCCACCCCTCCCTCTGGTCCCCTCTTTCCTGAGCCCCCTCTTTCTGCAGCCTCTGGAGCACCCCCCCCTCCCCCCCCCATTTCTCAGCCTATACCCTCCGGTACCCTCTTCTGCCCGCCTTCTTTGCCCTGTTGTCGTTTTTATTTTCTCCGTGATTCACAGACACGGTTGGCATTATGAAAACAATAGCCGAAAGCGGTGTGGCTCAGTGGGTAGAGCGTCGGCCTGCGGACTCAAAGGTCCCAGGTTCGATTCCGGTCAAGGGCTTGTGCCTTGGTTGCGAGCACATCCCCAGTAGGGGGGCGTGCAGGAGGCAGCTGATGGATGATTCTCTCTCATCGATGTTTCTCACTCTCTATTCCTCGCTCTTCCTCTCTGTAAAAAATCAATAAAATAGCCCTGACCTGTTTGGCTCAGTGGATAGAGCGTTGGCCTGCGGACTCAAGGGTCCCAGGTTCAAATCCCGTCAAGGTCATGTACCTTGCTTGCGGGCACATCCCCAGTATAGAGTGTGCAGGAGGCAGCTGAATGATGTTTCTCTCTCATCGATGTTTCTATTAAACTCTCTATCCCGCCTCTTCCACTCTGTAAAATATCAATAAAGTATATTTTTTTAAAAAAAAATCAATAAAATATATATAAAGAAAACAATACATACGCACAGAGAGAACAAAGACCCAGGAGTACAGCAGCGACCACCTCCGCCCGTCCCCAGGCCCCCATCGGGGTGTCCATGGCGCTCGCCCTCCCCTGGCTCTGACTGCTCCCTCCCCTGTGCGTCCCTCCCAGGCCGTGGACGGGCAGACGGACATCCAACTGCCTAAGAGTGTGAAGATCATCATGGACCGCTGGACCCTGCAGATGGGCTTCCCCGTCATCACCGTGGACACCAAGACGGGGAACATCTCTCAGAAGCACTTCCTCCTGGACCCCGACACCCCCGTCACCCGCCCCTCAGAATTCGGGTGAGCAGATGGGGGGGGTGCCCCCCCTCCAGGCCGGTGTCCTCAGGGGGGGGTCCCCAGGGGCCTCGCCTGCAGGGGTCCCAGCCCCAGCGGGTGTCCACAGGCCGGGGGGGGGGGGAGGGAGGGGGAGGCACGTGGTGCCAGAGAACGGGGCCTGGGCAGGGCGGCTCTGCGCTTGGGCCGGTGGTGGCCACGGCCTGCCCTCTCTCACCGCCCCCTCTTCCCGCCGTCTCTTGTTGCAGCTACAAGTGGATCGTTCCCATCTCGTCTCTGAGAAATGGCAAACCGCAGAATGACACCTGGCTAGAGGAACCCAGCATGAGTAATGCAGGCCTGCCCCTGGGGACAGAAGCCCCCCCCCCCCCCCCCCCCCGCTCTCCTCCCCCCCAACTCCTGGCCCCTGTGCTGGGATTCCCACCTCCTCCTTGGCCATGGCTTCCTTCCTCATTTCACGCCCCAAATGGAGCTGCCTTCTTTGGTTCTTTTTATTTATTTAAAAAAAAAAAAAAAAAAAAATATATATATATATATATATATATATTATTGATTTTTTTTTTTACAGAGAGGAAGGGAGAGGGATAGAGAGTTAGAAACATCCATCAGCCACCTCCTCCCCTGCACGCCCCCTCCTGGGGATGTGCCCGCCACCAAGGTCCATGCCCTGGACCGGAATCGAACCTGGGACCCTTCAGTCCGCAGGCCGACGCTCTATCCACCGAGCCACACCGGTTTCAGCAAGAAGTTTAAGTTTAAAAAATGTGGCTCTCCAAAGAAATGCTAGCAGGGAGAGCAGGGAGGAGGGGGCGCTAAGCCCCACTGAAGAGACGGGCAGTGCCAGGGGGCTGCCTGGATGGGAGTCTGAGCAGACGGGAGGTGTGAGGGTGGAGGTGCCCCGGTAGCTGGCCCTGGCCCGGGCACTGATGTTCAGGCGTGGCATGTGGTCTGTCTGAGGTGACCCAGCCAGCCAGAGGTAGAGATTGGCAGGGCAGTAGAGATTGGCAGGGCAGTCAAAGCTGGTGTGGCTCAGTGGTAGAGCGTCGGCCTGCCGACTGAAAGGTCCCAGGTTCGATTCCGGTCAAGGGCATGTACGTTGGTGGCGGGCACATCCCCGGTAGGGGGTGTGCAGGAGGCGGCTGGTCGATGTTTCTCTCTCATCGGCGATTCTGGCTCTCTATCCCTCTCCCTTCCTCTCTGTAAAAAATGAATAAAATATATTTAAAAAAAAAGAGAGAGAGAGAGAGAGAGAGAGAGAGAGAGAGAGAGAGATTGGCAGGGCAGGCAGCTACCGCCCCTCCCCTCCCCTCGGCATTGCCCCAGAGGCTGGTTGCCAGCTGTTGTCCAGCTGCACCAGGCTGCTCTTGGCTGAGGCCTGGAGGGCGGAGGTCAAGGGTCAGCCTCTGTTTCGGAGCCACCGCGCCCCAACTCCGCTCTGTCCCCCCACAGTTCAGGAGGGTCTGTTCAAAACCACCCTCACCGATTGGGTCCTGCTGAACGTCAACGTGACTGGCTATTACCAGGTGAACTACGACATGGAGAACTGGAATAAGATTCAGGCTCAGCTGCAGAGGGACCTGAAGGTCAGTGGGCGTCTGCCACCCCGACCTGGGCCCCTGCCCCGGGCCCAGCCCGAGGTCACGGCCAGAGGTCACACCCTCTGTTGCTCCTTCTAGGTCATCCCGACCCTCAACCGGGCGCAAGTCATCCATGACTCCTTCGACCTGGCCAGGTGAGTGTCGCCTCCCTCCTCGGGCCCAGGCGGGCTCTGCCGGAAGGCCTTGTGCCCCGAGCAAGTGCGTTTCCATAGTGACAACCCCTGAGTCTGACCTGCAGGTGTGAAGGGTCCCAGGTTCGATTCCCCTCTCCCCCACTGTGAGGAGCAGGCTTCTCATTGTCTCCTCCTCCTCCTCCTCCTCCTCCTCATCATCATCCTCCTCCTTCTCCTTCTTCTTTTTTAAAAAAAAATATATTTTATTGACTTTTTTACAGAGAGGAAGAGAGAGGGATAGAGAACCAGAAACATTGATGAGAGAGAATCATCGATTAGCCGCCTCCTGCACACCCCCCACCAGAGATGTGCCCACAACCAAGGCACATGCCCTTGACCAGAATCGAACCTGGGACCCTTCAGCTCACTGGCCGATGCTCTATCCACTGAGCCAAACTGGTTTTGGCACTTCTTCTTTTGTTAATCCTCACTGGAGAATACTTTTTTTTTTTTTTTATGAAAAAATTTTTTTAAAATTGATTTCAGACAGAGAGGGAGAGGGAGAGGGAGAGGGAGAGAGAGAGAGAAGCAGCAATGATGAGAGAGAATCATTGATCGGCTGCCTCCTACAACTGGGCATGTGCCCTTGACCGGAATCGAACCCGGGATCCTTCAGTCAGCAGGCTGATGCTCTGTCCACTGAGCCAAACCAGCAAGGGCAAGGATACTATTCCATTGGTTTTTTAAAATATATTATTTTATTGATTTCAGAGAAGAGGGAGAGAAAGAGAGAAACATCAATGATGAGAGGGAATCATTGATTGGCTGCCTCCTGCACGTCCCCACACTGGGGATCGAGCCCACAACCTGGGCATGTGCCCTTGACTGGAATTGAACCCAGGACCCTTCAGTCCGCAGGCCAACACTCTATCCACTGAGCCAAACCAGCTAGGCATCCATTGATTTTTGAAGAGAATAGAAGGGAGAGTGAGAGACGGAGAGAATCATGGATGTGGGAGAGACACATCAATTGGTTGCCTCCCGCGCATGCCCCAATAGGGCTGGGGATCAAATCTGCAATGGAACTGAAACCGGTTTGGCTCAGCAGTAGAGCGTCGGTCTGCGGACTCAGGGTCCCGGGTTCGATTCCGGTCAAGGGCATGTACATTGATTGCAGGCACATCCCTGGTAGGGGGTGTGCAAGAGGCAGCTGGTCCATGTTTCTCTCTCATCCATGTTTCTAGCTCTCTATCTCTCTCCCTTCCTCTCTGTAAGAAAATCAATCAAATATATTTAAAAAAGAAAAAAAAGAAAGAAAAAAAAATCTGCAATGGAGCTACGTGCCTTGACCAGAATCGAACCCGGGACCCTTCAGTTCCAGGGCCGATGCTCTATCCACTGAGCCAAACTAGCTAGAGCCTCAGCTTTACGACGGAGATAATAAGCAAGGGATTGTGGCTGGCGGGGGGAGGGGGGAGGGACAGGGCCTGGCTGGCCTTATTTCTGGAATCGCCCAGCACCCACATTTCCCAGCACCCACATTCCCCACCCCCCAGTGAACCCTGGAGCTGGTGCAGCTGGGGCTCTGGGACCTCAGGTTGGGTTTCCCAGAGAGGAGTAGCTGGGGGTGCTAAGTTGAGCCCCTTTGTTTGACCCCCCCTCCCCCAGTGCCCGCCAGGTCCCCGTCACGCTGGCGCTGAGCAACACCCTCTTCCTGATCCACGAGAAAGAATACCTGCCCTGGCAGGCCGCCCTGAGCAGCCTGAGCTACTTCAAGCTCATGTTCGACGGCTCCGAGGTCTACGGCTCCATGCAGGTACGGAGGTGGGGTGGGGCGCGGGACCATTTCGCCAGGCGCCTGTGGTCGCACCGTCAGGAAGCCCATGGAGGCATCGCCTGGCACCTGGTGTGGCGAAACCCTCCAGGCCGACCCGGCCCCGGGCCTTTGTGAGCTCAGGCTGGGCATCAGGAGGTGGGCAGGTTGGGGAGGGCCAGGCAAGGGCCCAGGCCTCCAGCAAAGTGGGCGGATGTGGATGGCAGCGAGGCCCCTGTTTTCCCGGCTGCGTGGCCTCGGGTACCCCTCCTGAGCCCGGAGAACCCCCCTCTGGGAAACGTCTATCTGTCTAGCGAGCCCACGGGGCAGAAGGGGCGGGAGATGCGGGTGTTAGCAGCTTTAAAACAGAGGACTCCCATGCCGAAACCAATGTGGCTCAGTGGGTAGAGCGTCGGCCTGCGGACTGAAAGATCCCGGGTTCGATCCCGGTCAAGGGCATGTACCGTGGTTGCGGGCACATCCCCAGTAGGGGGTGTGGTGCAGGGGGCAGCTGATGGATGTTTCTCTCTCATCGATGTTTCTAGCTCTCTATCCCTCTCCCTTCCTCTCTGTAAAAGATCAATAACATATATTAAAAAAGAAAAGAAAGGAAAGGAATGGTGATGGTTAAAGATACGGGTCAGGAGGGATGGGGGCTCTGAGTGCCGTCCCGCTCTGGGGGGCGGGGCCTCGGGGCCTCTGGTCGCTTTGCCTCTGAGGGCTGCCCACCCGCACCCACCCGCACTAGGCCCCGTGGGGCTCCCGGCAGGCCAGGCTGGAGTCTCACCTTGGAACCCGCTCATGCTCTCTCTTCCTCAGAAATACCTGAAGAAGCAGGTCACGCCCCTCTTCCAACACTTTGAAAATATCACCAGTAACTGGACAACGCGCCCCGAGAACCTGATGGACCAGTGAGTGTGACTTCTTCTGGGTCTGGAGATCATGGGGGCCCCAGCCACCCTGACCCGGGGGTGGGGGGAGTCCGGAGTAACGCCCAGGCAGCCCCCCCCCCCCACCTCTCCGCTCCCGGCTGCACTGGGGGCGCCAGGCGGGGAGCGAGCCCCCCGGCAGGGGCCCTGCCATCTCTGCCTCTTCGCTAAGGTGGCCAGACGTCCCGCTTTGGGCGGGACAGTCCCGATTTCCAACCATTTGTCCTGCGTCCTGTAGCATTTTTAAAAAGTCCCGATTTTGGGGGAAAAAATTTTGAGAATCATTTTGGAAAGAAAAAAATCAGGACTTTTTTATTTTTTATTATTTTTCTTTTCTTTTTATTTTTACTGTTCACATTTTTAGTTTGTTATTTTATTTTAGTTTTTTTAAAGAGGCAAATAGTGTTTTAGTATGATATTAGTTATTTATTTATTTTTTTAAATTATATTTTATTGATTTTTTTACAGAGAGGAAGGGAGAGGGATAGAGAGTTAGAAACATTGATGAGAGAGAAACATCGACTAGCTGCCTCTTGCACACCCTCTACCCAAGATGTGCCCACAACCAAGGTACATGCCCTTGACCAGAATCGAACCCGGGACCTTTCAGTCTGCTCTACCACTGAACCAAACCGGTATCAGCTTTTTTTTTTAATCAGGACTTTTTTAAAACGCCGCGGGATGCGGGACAAATTATTAAAAATCGGGACGTCTGGTCACCTTATTCTTTGCACAAAACCAAATTGCAAGTCCCAGGTCCCCTCACAGACCTGGTCACTGAGATCCTAGATGGGGGAAGCTGGGGGTGGCACAGAGCAAAGGGGTCCCCAGGCACAGAGCAGAGGGGGGGCCCCGAGGACACGGCGGGCTGCAGCCTTAGCGCCCCGGCCTGGCCGCCCCTCCTGACGCCCTGTGTGGGCTGGGGAGCCCTGGCCAGCCTGACCAAGTGTCCCCCGGGGCAGGTACAACGAAGTCAACGCCATCAGCACTGCCTGCTCCAGCGGGGTCCCTGAATGCAAGAAACTGGCGTCAGACCTTTTCAACAAATGGATGCTCAAGCCCGATACCAATCCGTGAGTGTTGCCCTGCCCCTTCCTGAGCTTTGTTCACCCCCTCAAGCCCATAGCCCTAACCTGATCCCACCTTCTCTGCTGCTGCTCCGCTGCTGACCGCCTCCCCCCACCCCGCACGCCAGGATCCACCCCAACCTGCGGTCCACCATCTACTGCAACGCCATCGCCCAGGGCGGCGAGGAGGAGTGGGACTTTGCCTGGAACCAGTTCCGGAAAGCCACGCTGGTCAACGAAGCTGACAAGCTCCGCGCAGCCCTGGCCTGCAGCAAGGAGGTCTGGATCCTGAACAGGTGAGGCCTGCGGGCACGGTGGGCGAGTTCCCTTCCCTCCCCCGCCTTCCTGGGATCCCGGATGGAAGAGAAAGAACCGTCTCACAGGGCCTCCATACTCACCAAATGGCACAGGAGGGCAGGATGCTCCCATTTGACAGATGGGCACACTGAGGCTCGGAAAACTTGCCCAAGGTCAAGAAGCTTTAAGGAGTGATAGAGTCAAGAATCAAGCCCAAGTCTGGGCTCGTGTCCTGTGTTTTGTTTGTTTGTTTGTTTGTTTTTTTATTTAATATATTTTATTGATTTTTTACAGAGAGGAAGAGAGAGGGATAGTTAGAAACATCAATGAGAGAGAAACATCCATCAGCTGCCTCCTGCTCATCCCCTACTGGGGATGTGCCCGCAACCCAAGGTACATGCCCTTGACTGGAATCGAACCTGGGACCTTGCAGGGGGTGTACAAGAGGCAGCTGATCGATGTTTCTCTCTCATCGATGTTTCTAACTCTCTCTTTCTCTCTCTTCCTCTCTGTGTAAAAAAATCAATAAAATATATTAAGAAAAAAAAAAAAAAGGCAGAGACTGGTTTGGCTCAGTGGTAGAGCAGGTCCCGGGTTCGATTCCAGTCAAGGGCATGTATCTTGGTTGCGGGCACATCCCCAGTAGGGGGTGTGCAAGAGGCAGCTGATCGATGACTCTCATCACGGGGGTGTGCAAGAGGCAGCTGATCGATGACTCTCATCGATGTTTCTAACTCTCTATCTCTCTCCCTTCCTCTTTGTACAAAATCAATAAAATATATTTATAAAAAATAAAAAATAAAAAAAATCAATTAAATAAAAAAAAGGTGGTGGCCAGAGGCACGTGGGTGGTAAGATGTGTGGCCACCATGGCTGCTCAATTTATTTATTTATTTATTTATTAAAAGAAGGTCAAAATAAAAAAAATCAATTAAATATATATATATATATATATTTTTTTTTTTTTTAAAGGGGGGGAGGAGATGGAGAACAGCTGTGTGGGGAGGGCCGGTGCCAGCCTGGCTCTCGTCGAATCATCTCACCGCAGCCCTCGGTCGCGATCACTAACACAGACCCTACCCCCACAGGTACCTGAACTACACCCTGAACCCCGACCTCATCCGGAAGCAGGATGCCACCTCCACCATCAGCAGCATCGCCGGCAACGTCATCGGGAAGACGCTGGCCTGGGACTTTGTCCAGATCAACTGGAAGAAGCTCTTCAATGAGTGAGTCGCCCCGAGAACTTGGCAGGGGCGCAGGGTGTCTCTGTGCGCGGAACTCAGCAGGGCCGGGAGCGAGGGGTGAGGCCTGCCAGGGCGCGGGGGGCAGCCAGCCAAAGAGCAGATGGGGGCTGGTGGGAGTGAAGTCTGGAGAGATGGGAGCCAGGACATCCCAGGGAGACCCGTGTTCAGGTCCCCTTGCATCGCATCTGCAAGAGGGACCGATCACAGGGCAGTCGCCTGTCAGTCACTGTGTGCTAAGTCCCGTCCTCCTCACGGTTCATCTCTCTCCCTGACCTGCAGTTATGGCGGCGGCTCCTTCTCCTTCTCCAACCTCATCCAGGCCGTGACCCGACGATTCTCCACTGAGCACGAGCTGCAGCAGGTGAGCAGCCCTGGGCCCCGGGGAACATCCGGGTCTAAGTTGGGGGTGGGGGGGGCGGCCGCCAGTCAGCTCCCCTGAGTGTGGTCCCTGGGAGTGTGGCTCCTTGTGGTCAGGCCTCCCTCAATGAGAGAAGCTGGGTGTCCAGACTTTTTCTTTCTTTCTTTTATTTTATTTTTTAATATATTTTATTGACTTTTAACAGAGAGGAAGGGAGAGAGATAGAGAGCTAGAAACGTCGATGAAAGAGAAACATCGACCAGCTGCCTCTTGCACACCCCCTACCGGGGATGTGCTCGCAACCAAGGTACATGCCCTTGACAGGAATCGAACCTGGGATCCTTCAGCCTGCAGACCGATGCTCTACCACTGAGCCAAACCGGCTTCTGCTTTATTTTATTTTTTATTGATTTCATAGAGGAAAGGAGAGATAGAAATATCAATGATGAGAGAGAATCACCTATCGGCTGCCTCCTGCACGCCCCCTACGGGGGATCGAGCCCACAACCCAGGCATGTCCCCTTGACCGGAATCGAACCCGAGACCCTTCAATCCGCAGGCCAACGCTCTATCCACTGAGCCAGATCGGACAGGGCCCATTCTGTCTTGATTACTGTAGCTTTGTAGTGAGTTTTAACATTAGGAATATGAATAACACAACTTGGTTTTTTTTTTTTTTTTTTTTTTTTTTGCAAGATTATTTGGCTCTTCTAGGTCCCTTGAATTTCTTTATGAGTTTTAGGATCGGATGCTAATTTCTGCACGAAAGGGCCATTGGAACTTTGATAGGGATTTCGTAGGATCTGTAGATCCATCCATTTAGGGAGTGTTGCTATGTTAATAAAATTAAATCTCCCCATCCATCAACATTTATGGGGTCTCTTTTCCTTTTATTTAGGTCTTCTTAATCGCTTTCCAAAATGTTTCATAGTTTTCTTGTCAAATGTCTTTCCAAGTGCCTTATTCTTTTTGATGCTATTGTAAACGAAGCTGCTCTCTTTAATTTCGGTTTCGGATTTTTCACGGCTTTTATGTAGAACTACAAACTGATTTTAACATATCGCTCTTGTATCCTGCCACCTTGCTGGACCCATTCGCTCAAATCATTTTCGGGTGTAGATGTCTAGGGATTTGCTGTATGCAGATCATGTCATCTCTACTTCTTCCTCTCTTGTCTAATTGCCCTCCTTGCAATGCCCAGTACTAACGCATTTTTTAATCTGTAACATCTATAAAAAAAAAAAAAAAAAAAAAAAAGCAAACAAAACAAAACATTTCTTGGCCGAAGCAACTGGGTCATTTGTATTATGAAAATGGCCACCTTTTAAATTCAGCCGTTCGGTTGCCATGGCGTGTGCTTCACTTGCCACTCTCCCCCACCCTCCCAACCCCCCCCCCCCCCTTGATTGGATTGAGACTGCAATTCAATTAAAAACCGAGAGTCCATGCCGTGGTGGTGGAGAATCACACGCTGCAGGCTCAATCATCTAGGAGCCTGATTGAACCCTGGGGGCTGTCACTTCTTAGCTCTGCTCCAGATAAGGACTTGGTCAGAGGTGGGGGATGGAGGGGGCGTGGGAGGGCCAGGACCGGGCCCCTCTGCTCAGAGCCGCCGGAGGCCAGCCTGGGCTGAGGCTCTCTCCCCTCTCCCACACCCTGCAGCTGGAGCAGTTCAAGAAGAACAACATGGACACGGGCTTCGGCTCGGCCACGCGGGCCCTGGAGCAGGCGCTGGAGAAGACCAAGGCCAACATCAAGTGGGTGAAGGAGAACAAGGACGTGGTGCACAAGTGGTTCAGAGACAACAGCATGTAGTGCCGCCGCCCGGCCCGCATGGGCATTGTCCCCGCGGCTCGCCCACCCTGAGGCCCCACGCCCTCCCTCAGGGACCCGGTCCTCGCCCGTGTCCTCTCCACTCTGTCCGAGGAGCCAGTCCAGTTCCCGACCGACCAAACACCTCCCAGCCCCCGCCCTGCCCCTCGTGCCAACCGCGCCCCAGGCCCAGAGCCCTGGGGCTGATCTCAGGGAAGCCCGGCTCCGTGGCCAGAGCAGCTAAAGCCCTCGGCTCGGCCTCCGGGAGCTGCCCGCGCCCCCTCGCCTTCCCACAAAGAAAAAGACCCTGACCCTGGGGACTCCACCCGACACCAGATCTGTATATTTTTTTTCTTTTTTTCTAAGAGAAAATATAGATAAAAGGATTTCTAGATGAGCTTCCAGACTCATGACTGAACCAGAACAGGAGGAGGGATTCGCACGGCAGCTGGGGAGCCGGGGCTAGAGGGGGTGGTGTATGGAGGGAGGGAGTCTGTGCACTGACACTGGGCCTGACCGGTAAGAGGAAGTGGCTATTATTATGGTCCAGGCCCTGTTTCTGGGTTCAAGGCCCTGTCCCCCTCACAGACTCCCCTGTGCTCCCCTGGTGCCTGCACATCAAAGGGGGGGCGGGGCCCGCCGAGGTGGGGTGGGGTCCCTCCATCAACCAGGTCCCCTCCGGGCCAGCCCTTCCTGTCGCCAGCGCCCAGCAGCCGCGGCTGGCACTTGACCTTTGGGGCCCAGCGCTCAGGGCCCTGTTGCGGGGGTGGTCGGCAAGGATCCTAGTCTCCGTGCCTGGCACTGAGCTCAGTGCGTATGCGCATTCTCTCATCTGGTTCCCAGCAGTCAGGGGAGCAGATAGGCACAGTCTTTATCTGGGTTTTGCTGATAAGGAAAGAGGCTCAGGGAGGTTAAGGCACAATTCAGTGGAGCTAGAAGGTGGCCTTAGACCAGCTCCCCGGCCCCTGCCTGCGTGAGTGGCATTGAGGCAGGGTCTATGACAGACACACCTCACATGCTCGGCCAGGGCCACCTGACAACTCACTTCGCCGGCATGCACAAGGCCCCTGTGGCTGGAGGAGACTGGTTCCCGGGCTGCAGCAAAGTCAGAGCTAGACCTGCCTGCAGAACCTTGCTCAAGCAGAAACCGTTTTGGCTCAGTGGATAGAGCGTCGGCCCACGGACTGAAAGGTCCCGGGTTCGATTCCGGTCAAGGGCGTGTACGTTGGTTGCGGGCACATCCCCATTAGGGGGTGTGCAGGAGGCAGCTGGCCGATGTCTCTCTCTCATCGATGTTTCTAGCTCTCTATCTCTCTCCCTTCTTCTCTGTAAAAAATCAATAAAGCCGACGCCGAGACCGGTTTGGCTCAATGGATAGAGCGTCGGCTTGGGGACTGAAGGGACCCGGGTTCGATTCCGGTCAAGGGCATGTACCTTGGTTGCGGGCATATCCCCAGTAGGGGGTTTGCAAGAGGCAGCTGACCGATGACTCTCTCTCATCGATGTTTCTAGCTTTCTATCTCTCTCCCTTCCTCTCTGTACAAAATCAATAAAAAATATATTTAAAAAAAAAAAAAAAAAAAAAAAAATCAATAAAGCCGAAACCGGTGTGGTTCAGTGGATAGAGCATCAGCCTGCGGACCGAAAGGTCCCAGGTTCGATTCCGGTCAAGGGCATGTACCTTGGTTGCGGGCACATCCCTGGTGTGGGGTGTGCAGTAGGCAGCTGGTCGATGTCTCTCTCATCAGTGTTTCTAGCTCTCTATCTTTCCCCCCTCCCTACCTCTCTGTGAAAAATCAATTAAAAAAAAATAAAAATATAAAAATATTTTATTGATTTTTTAAAAAAAATACATTTTATTGATTTTACACAGAGAGGAATTGAGAGGGACAGAGAGTTAGAAATGTCGATGAGAGAGAAACATCGACCAGCTGCCTCCTGCACACTCCCTCCTGGGGATGTGCCCACAACCAAGGTACACGCCCTTGACCGGAATCGAACCCGGGACCTTTCAGTCCGCAGGCCGACTCTCTATCCACTGAGCCAAACCGGTTCCGGCTATTTTATTGATTTTTTTATGGAGAGGAAGGGAGTTAGAAACATCGATGAGAAACATCGACCAGCTCCTCCTGCACACTCCCCACCAGGGTTGTGCCCGCAACCTAAGTACATGCCCTTGACAGGAATCGAACCTGGGACCCTTCAGTCCACTGGCTGACGCTCTATCCACAGAGCCAAACTGATTTCGGCTGAAATTTCTTTTGAGAGCCAAAAACCGACTTCTGCACATGGACCATAAAGTTTCAATTGCACTGCATGTGGGTGCCTGCACGTAGTATTTTGTGGAAGAGCCACACTCCAGGGGCCAAAGAGCCGCATGTGGCTCACCAGCCGCAGTTTGCCGACCATCGTGTAAGGGCAACCTGAGCCCACTAATACACTAGCCTGGTCCCTGGGGCCTGTTCACAGGCATCCTTTGAAAAACAGTTTCATATCATGTGGACAAGCCCTACGGGTCAGCTGGAATGAAAGGAGCGCTGGCCTGGTGGTCATGGCAACCCGCTCTGCCGCCATGCACAGCCAGCCAGGTAGAGAGACCTTCCTTGTGCAATAAACATTGTCAGATTGGCGAGGGCCCACAGCACCCTTGGGAGGGCATGACCTGTTCCCCACAGGATGGGAACATTTCCCCTTTCCCAGAGGCTATAAAAGCACAGAGCAAAGCAGTTTTTTTTAAAAAATTTATTTACATTTTAATCCTCACCCGAGGATATTTTTTCATTGACATTTTTTGAGAGAGAGAGAGAGAAATGTTAATGGGAGAGAACGCTATAGACTGGTTGCCTCCTGCATGCCCACTGACCAGGGTCAGAGAGGAGCTTGAAACCCAGGTACGTGCCCTTAACTGGAATCGAACCCGGGACCCTTTGGTCCACAGGCTGACACTCTATGCACTGAGCCAAACGGGCTGTGTTGTGTGTGGTTTTTAAAAAATATATATTTTATTAAATTTTTACAGAGAGGAAGGGAGAGGGATAGTTAGAAACACTGATGAGAGAGAAACATGGATCAGCTGCCTCTTGCACAGCCCCCACCGGGGATGTGCCTGCAACCAAGGTACATGCCCTTGATCAGGATCGAACCCGGGACCCTTCGGTCCACTGACGCTCTATCCACTGAGCCAAACGGGCTAGGGCTGTGTTGTGTTTTTTTAAACACCAAGTACATAGGGGTCTGCCCTCAGCCCACCCCACTCCCCCAATCTATCCCATCAGCCCCAGACCTGACAACATGGTGGGTCAAGCAGTCCCCCGTGTTTCTGCAGCTGACTGTGCTGTTCAGGGCACTGATCATTTGGGGGCAGGGGGGCACTTTGCCTAGGACCTGGGAATGCCCCAGCCCCCACACCAGCCAGGGAGGCCACCGAACACAGCTTCCGTGAACGGCATCACTTGGAAAAGGGATCCCTGGCTACAGGAAAGCTTGAAAACCGCTGACCTTGCACCTGAGGGCGCCCACACTACAGGCTGGAAAGGGGGGGACAGGCAAGGCCATTAATAGAAGATGCTCATGTGGCCCCCCTCGTCCGGCCAAAGTTCAGGGCAGCCCCCGAGCTGCAGGCCTGAGCTCTGGAGAGGGCTTTCGTCGCTGAAGGGAAAGGTGGGGCCTGGTCCCTGGGGCTCCGAGCTGGGCAGCACGTCTGCACTGTGGCTCCAGAATCCCCACTGGGCCTGAGGCTGCAGTCTCTGGCACGCCGGGCTGGGCAGGAGGAGCGGGGTTTCTGGCCACAGACAGGACTCCGGAGACACACAGATACCCTGCAAGAGAGACGAGAGCAAGCTGGTGAGGGGGCCGCGATGGCCCAGACCTTGAACCTGGATGCTCCTCAGTGTGGCAGGCAGTTTCCGAACAGCCCTGGTGTCCAGAATGCAGGAAAGCAAAAAGGGTTAAGAGTTTCACTGCCAGGGTTCAAACCCCAGCTCTGCTAGCCGCCAGCTCTAGGAACACAGATAGCCTCTTCTAGCCTCAGTTTTCCCATCTGTACATTGGGATGATGATAATACCTGCTTCGTGGAGCTTGAGGCAGGGCAGAATGAGTCAACTCATGCGCAATAATAGACATTTGGGCTATGAACACGCTATGTTATGGGCCATGGCTCACGGGCCTCATGAGTGATGAATGAAGTTTGAAGGAAACATGAAAGTCACCAGCTCAAAGCCCATCGATCAGGAAGCCCCTAAACCTGGAGCTGCGGGGCTTCCCTCCATACTCCCAGCCCCGAATGGAGCCAGGGTGGAAGGAGCAAGTCCTCACGGGGCGTGAGGACTTCTGGGTGTTGGTGGCCTTAACTGCGAGGGTCCCATCTCTTTCCCCAAGGGGCCGGCGCCCTCTCTCTCCATCTCCCCTTCAGCTTCTCTCCATCCCTAACCAGGGTGGGATTGGATAATCGGGATCCAAAAAGGATAGAATCTACTGCAGACTAGAGCCTACCCACCCCGTCCATTTCCAACTGCAGCCTGGGCACGGTACCTGGTACACTGCAGCGGGCTCCGGGGCTGCGAGGGTCCCGGGCTCCAAGGGCGTCTGCATTCCGGAACCAGCTTCGGGCGGCGTCCAAAGAGCCGCATCGGGGGCCCTACGTTGGGACACTGGCGGAAGCGACTGCGCCCCGGAGCAGTAAGGGGGTGAGACCCAAGGACCCACGTCGGGGATCCTGCTCCCCAAGCATCCGGGCGCTGCTGGGACTCCTAGACAGGCAGGCGGGGACCCCCAAGACCCCGGTGCGGGGGCGACGGAGCCCAGAACCGGGCCGCGCGCTGGCGTCGACGTCGACGTCGGCGTCAGCGTCTGCGCCTGCGCGGAGCCGCCGTCGGGGCAGAGCGGGCAGCCCCGAGGGGCCGCCGCGTCGCTGCTGCTGCTGCTGCTGCTCCGGGGCCGCGGGCGCCGGCACCGCCTCAGGCTGTCCTCGCTGAGGCCCAGCACGGCCGACAGGTGGGCGATGTAGCGGATGGCCAGGCGCAGCGTCTCGATCTTGGTGAGGCTCTGGCCGGCGGGCGCCACGGACGGCGGCAGGAAGCGGCGCAGCTCGTGCAGCGCGCGGGCGAGCGTGCGCATGCGCAGCTTCTCGCGCTCGCTGGCGCTCTGCCGCTGCCCGCCGGCCGCCGGGGCGGGGCGCGCGCGTCGGGGCGCCGTCGTCGGGGCGGCCTGCGGGCTGCGGGCGGGGGGCTTGGCCCGCGAGGGGACCCCGGCGCCGCCGCCGTCACAGGGGCACGAGCCCGACGAGTCTGAGGAGGACGAGGCCGGGGACGTGGAGTCCGGGTGCGCGGCCGCCCAACCCCAGCCCTGGGGTAAGGTCCAGGGGTCGAGGGTCTGCAGCGGCGGCGGCGGCGGCGGGGACTGGGCCATGGCCGGCCGGGGGCCCGCGGGCTCCGGGCTCCTCCGCGAAGGCTGGGCTGGCCGCCTCCGGGCCTCCTGAGCTTTTTATCCGGGACCCGAAGGTGCGAGGTGGCCTCCCGCCAGGTTGCAGAGAGGTGTCAAAACCCACAGGGCCCGGGCAAGGCCCGGGCAGGGGGGAGGCCTGGGAAAGCGGGCCCATTTGCGGAGGTGTGGATTCTGACTCCTCGGGGGGCTCTAATGGAGGCCCCTGCAGCCCGGGAAGTGTGGGAGGGACGATTCGCATCTGGATGGAGGAGCTGCTAAGCTTCTCGCCACCAGGCTCCCGTCCACCCCGCTGGCCAGCGCAGGGTGAGTGCCCAGGAGCGATGGGCAGTGCCATCGCCTCTGACTCCCGGCGCCCAAGCTGCTTCTCAATGGACCATTGCGCCCCTCTCGTCACCATCCCTGGTGGGGAGCTTGCTGTGCCCAGTAACTTGCACCCAGTGCCTACAAGGGTGCCCAGGACAAGCCCCGAGGGACCTGCCAGCAGTGATGGGGGGGTGCAGGTGGACCCTTCCTGGATTCCTTGGAGCCTGCACCTGCTGATTTGCCGAGTGACACCGAGAAAGTCCTCTCACTGCCCACAGCTCATTTCTTTTCTTTATTTCTTTATTTCTTTTTCTTTCTTTTCTTTCTTTCTTTTTTTTTTTTTTAATATTTTATTGATTTTTTTACAGAGAGGAAGAGGGAAGGATAGAGTTAGAAACATCGATGAGAGAGAATCATCGATCAGCTGCCTCTTGCACACTCCCCACTGGGGATGTGCCTGCAACCAAGGTCCATGCCCTTGACCGGAACCGAACCTGGGACCCTTAAGTCCGCAGGCCGACGCTCTATCCACTGAGCCAAACCGGTTTTGTTTTTTTCTTTTCTTTTTTTAAAATATATTTCTTTAGTGATTTCAGAGAGGAAGGGAGAAAGAGAGAGAGAGAGAGAAACATCCATGATGAGAGAGAATCACGGATCGGCTGCCTCCTGCACGCCCCACTACTGGGGATCGAGCCTGCAACCCAGGCCTGTGCCCTTGGGGCCCCTCAGTCCACAGGCTGACGCTTTATCTGCTGAGCCAACCCGGGTAAGGCCTACAGTCATTTCTGTTCCAGAAAAACAACAGGGGAGCCCTAGACATTTTGGCTCAGTGGATAGAGCGTTGTCCCGGCTTCGATTCTGGTCAAGGGCACAGGCCTGGGTTTCAGGCTTGGTCCCTGGTAAGGGGCGTGCAGGAGGCAGCCGATCAATGATTCTCTCTCATCATTGATGTTTCTCTCTCTCTCTCCCTCTTTGAAATCAAAATTTTTTTTAAAAAAAAAAGAAAAGAAAAACCAGAGAGGAGCCTGGAGAAAGAGAATGAATGGGGTGCAGTGGGCCCCCCAGGCCTGCCCAGCCAGACCCTCTTTATTTGCTGTGTGACTTTGCACAAATGACTTTGCTCCTCTGAGGCTCAAGTTTCCTCGTTCTCAGCAATGACGTCACACACCAGCCCGGATGGCTGCTGGGACTCAGGGGAACCATCCACAGAACCACTTAGTGTGCCCTTGGCACTGGGGCTCAGTGTGTAATACCTTCATTTTATAAAGAAGGTACTTCCATTTCAGGACGCTCATGGGCATTATTCACTTAATTCGTGTTTATTTAGCAACTGGTAAATGTCAGGCGCGCCAGGGTGAGCAAGCGGGGCGTGTTCTCTGCCCACATGAGTTTATTTTTTCGTTTTTTAAATACATTTTTATTGATTTCAGAGAGGGACAGAGAGATAGAAACATCAATGATGAGGGAATCATTGATTGGCTGCCTCCTGCACGCCCCCCCCCCCCCCAACTGGGGATTGAGTTGATAACCCTGACATATGCCCTTGACTGGAATCGAATCCAGGACCCTTCAACCGCAGGCTGATGTTCTATCCACTGAGCCAAAACAGCTAGGGCCCTTGATGAGATTTTAGTGTTTTGTTGTTGTTTTTAAAAAATATGTTTTATTGATTTTTACAGGGAGCAAGGGAGAGGGATAGAGAGTTAGAAACATCGATCAGCTGCCTCTTGCACACTCCCTACTGGATAGGTGCCCACAACTAAGGTACATGCCCTTGACCGGAATCGAACCTGGGACCTTTCAGTCCACAGGCCGCTCTATCCACTGAGCCACACCGGTTTCGGCTGTGATCTTTTTTAAAAGGGCAGACTTGGAGGCTAAGGGCCTCATCAGGGCCAGAGACTAGCGCTCTGGTTGAAGAGGTGAGAGGTCACAGCTGGGCCTTGACCCAGCCCTGGTTCTAGGATAGGGACAGAGGCAGATAAGAGGGCATTTTGGATGTGGGAACAGCCTAAGCACAGGCCTGGCATTGAGACTTCCCAAGGTGCTCCCTGGGAGTTAGAAATAGATTAACCCATACCAGCCTGAAGAAGTAGATGGCTTTCCCTAGCCGGTGTGGCTCAGTGGATAGAGCGTCAGCCTGCGGACTGACGGGTCCCGGGTTCGATTCTGGTCAAGGGCACATGCCCGGGTTATGGGCTCGATCCCCAGCGCGGGTGTACAGGAGGCAGCCGATGAATGATTCTCTCATCACTGATGTTTCTTTCTCTCTCTCCCTTTCTCTCTGAAATCAATAAAAATACATTTTAAAACAAAATAAGGAAGTGGCTTTCTAGTATTTTGTGGCTGTTTTTTAAGAACTAACTTTTAGATACACCAATTACATAAACACATTCTCTTTGTAAGAAGTGGAAATATGCCCTGACTAGTTTGGCTCAGTGGATAGAGCCTGGGCCTGCGGACTCAAGAGTCCCAGGTTCGATTCCGGTCAAGGGCATGTACCTTGGTTGCAGGCACATCCCCAGTGGGGGTGTGTGCAGGAGGCAGCTGATCAATGTTTCTCTCTCATCGATATCTCTAACTCTCTATCCCTCTCTGTAAAAAAATCAATAAAAAATATATATATTTTTTTAAAAGAAATGGAAACATGAGAGATAAAGCTGGAACCCCTATAAACCCCCACTTACACCCCACAACGGAAACAGCTATGGTAAAGGGTTGTCAGGTGTCTTTCCAGACCTGGTCCATGCATTCACATCAGTCAACATATGTCCTTAGAAGTCACACAGAGTATAAAGGTGGTACCATGACCCTTTTCCACATGCCAGCCTATAATTTGCTCTTTTTTTTTTTTAATATATTTTTTATTGATTTTTTATAGAGAGAAAGAGAGAGGGATTGAGAGCCAGAAACATCGATGAGAGAAAAACACCTATCAGCTGCCTCTTGCACACCCCCTACTGGGGATGTGCCCGCAACCAAGGTACATGCCCCTGACCGGGAATCGAACCTGGGGCCCTTCAGTCTGCAGGCCAACGCTCTATCCACTGAGCCACACCGGTTTAGGCTGTAACTTGCTCTTTTTTCATTCGGTAGCGTACATGAGAGGACATGTGTAGTTCACTCGAAGTTGGTCATAGTTGATTTCAATGTTCATCCATTTCCATCGTAGAAGACAGTTTTAAAAAATGTATATATATTTTTATTGATTTCAGAGAGGAAAGGAGAGGGGGAGAGAGATGGAAACATCCATGATGAGAGAGAATCATGGATCGGCTGCCTCCTGCACGCCCCCTACTGGGGATGGAGCCCACAACCGGGGCCTGTGCCCTGACCGGAATGGAACCATGACCTCCTGGTTCCTAGGTTGACACTCTGAGCCACGCCAGTTGGGCCTCCTCAGAACTTATGTTGAAATACGTTGGAGACAAGATGCTCATGTAACCACTGTAACATGATGATAAAGTCATAACCGACCGGGAGTAACAGATCAGGGCAGCTGTTGTTTGGTTTATTGAGGGGAGGGAACTTGATCCGTAACGCGAAGAGAAGATGCAATCGGTTAGCCATGCCTCATTTTATTTTTTTTATTTTTTATTTTTTTTTTTTTTTCGGCTGAACTTCCCTTTTTATTTTTTTTTATTTATTTTTTTTTAAATCAATCTTTATTGTTCATATTATTACAAAGGTTCCTCATTTCTTCCCCCCTCCACCAGGTTCCCACCCCACCCTCCGTCCCCCCCCCCCCATCCCCCATTGTCCTCATCCATAGGTGCAGTTTATGTTCAGTCTCTTCTTCCCTCAATTTCCCCAATAGTAAATCCCTTTTCAGATAGTAAATCAGTTACTTAGCATTTTCTCATATCAATAATACCTCCACATGCCCAATGATACACTTCACACAAAAGACATTTCCCACTAGGTCAACCAGCCTCATCCAGGCCCCACCCAAGGCACTCACAGATCAACACCCCAGTCCTAAACTAACTCAACACATCCAGATCTAAGCCTTCATCACTTGATTCAGCAGACCCTCAAGTTCCCACGAAAGTTTCCAGCCATGTCTGAGAAGCAGCCGTGGGGCAGGGGCAGGCAAGGAGCGAGCTGTTCTGGGCCTGGCTGCTCAGGGCCTGGCCTCTGTTGCTCTGGTTCATTCCACAACCAGCTGCTCCGGGTCTGGTCACTGCCGCTCCCGACCTAGTTGCTCTGGACTTGGCTGCTGCTGCTCCGGGCCTGGCCGCTCCCAGCCTGGCCGCCGCTGCTCCGGCCTGGCCGCACCCGACCCGCCTGCTCCCCCGGGCCTGGCCGCTCCTGCTCCGGCCTGGCCGCACCCGACCCGCCTGCTCCCCCGGGCCTGGCCGCTCCCAGCCTGGCAGCCGCTGCTCCGGGCCTGGCCGCACCCGACCCGCCTGCTCCCCCGGGCCTGGCCGCTCCCAGCCTGGCAGCCGCTGCTCCGGGCCTGGCCGCACCAGCCCCGCCTGCTCCCCCGGGCCTGGCCGCTCCCAGCCTGGCAGCCGCTGCTCCGGGCCTGGCCGCACCCGACCCGGCTGCTCCCCCGGGCCTGGCCGCTCCCAGCCTGGCAGCCGCTGCTCCGGGCCTGGCCGCACCCGACCCGGCTGCTCCCCCGGGCCTGTGCCATGCCTCATTTTAAACATGCTTTC